ACGTTTTATTTCTACACTGTGCCTGATTAATGACTCTCTTTTGGCACTGAGCAGAAATAAACTCAGAAGCAGAGAAGAGTGGTGATGGTAATAGGTGGAGATCAAACTCTTCCTTTAGCCTGTTTTTTGACAAAAGAGCTGGGGAGCTGTATGGCCTAATTGCATTTTGATCAATTTGCACTCTAAACTATATTGCAAAAGCTGCTAACTTGCATTAATACCCTGTATACATTCAATGCACCAAGTTTCTTCCATTAGTACATTCAGTATAAAAAGGTCTCAGGAATACCTGAACCGCTCACTCTGGAGGCTAGATATGAAACTAAAAGTTATCCGAAAGAAAGAGCTAACAACCATTAGTCTCAACTAAAGAGCCTTGGTACTACAGTGGTTTAAAGCACCCTGTTATTAACACAGCTGCCTGCAATTTACTGCTGGTTCGAATCTCTCCAAGGCTCAAGGTTGACTCAGCCTTCCATCCTTTCTAAGGTAGGTTAAATGAGGACCCAGTTTGTGGGGGCAATAAGCTGACTTTGTATAAAACATACAAAAGTATGAAGGCTATTGCTTAGCGCACTGTAAGCCTCCCTGAGTCTCCGGAGAAGGGCGGCATATAAATCAAATTAAAAAAAACAAAAAACAAAAACTGCTGAATTGATTGAGGAAAGGTAATGCCAGCGTATTATGCCTGTCAGCATAAGAAAAGTAAAAAGGCAGACTTGACTTTCATCAGTACTCATATGCTCAAAATATACATGAAATATAGCTCATCACTGTAACACTTATTGTTCTGATGTCATGCAGCAAGTTTCTTTCTTTAAAACAGAATAATACAGCCCGGGGTGGATTCCAAATCTTGTCGCTATCAGTTTGCTCACACATGCGCACGGCGCTTCTGAGCATACGCAGAAGCGTCTCGGCAAGAGGGACGAGCCTCCCACCGCTGCCGCTACCGGTTCGCCTGATCCGGTGCGAACTGGTAGCAACCCACCACTGATACAGCCTATAGTTGGGATTTGCCAGTTGGTTAGGCCTGGCAGCCAATGACATCCAACTGAGCTTAACTCTCAGCAACCCTAGAGCTCTAGAACCAATAAAAACAGCATTTTCGTGCCAAGCATTATACAAGTAGTCCTTGACTTACAACAGTCCGTTTAGTGACCATTCAAAGCTAAAACGGCACTGAAAAAAGTGCCATTTTTCGTGCCTTCAACTGTTGCAGCATCTCCATGATCACATGATCAAAATTCAGATGCTTGGCAATTGGTTCATATTTACAATGGTTGCTGGGGTCATGTGGTCACCTTTTGCAACTTTCTGCAACAAGCAAAGTCAGTGGGGGAGCCAGATTCCCTCAACCAGGTTACTAACAACTGCAATGATTTACTTAACAACTGTGGCAAGAAAAGTTGTAAAATGGGGCAAAACTCCCTTTAAAAATGTCTCACTTAGCAACATAAATTTTGGGTTCAATTGTGGTCGTACGTTGAGGACTACCTGTACTTGGCCCTTAAGTGAAAGGCTCAGGTGCCGATGTTAGTAGGACTGAATCAGTCAGGAGGAGAGGGAGAACACAAAACCTCTATATAATTAAACTTGTCTTAAATAATATACTTCACATGGTTACTGCAACATATTTAATAAAGACTCTCATTCTGTCAAATTACAAATTATAAATGTAATGATAACTTGTGAAGGGATTCCAAGGAAAAAAATGTGTATTCCTGGGAATCTTAGGCATCCCCTGATATGCTCTAGAATTCACACACCTTCCAAGCTTATAGTATTATGATTTTAATTTGTAATCAGTTAAGGACAATCAATACTACCACAGTAACTGTCTAGTATAGTATTGAATTAATGATGAAGGTTGGATGAAAGAAATCATGGAAGTTAATGGCTATAATTATATAGTCTTCCACTTGATTTTGTACTGTGTTCAGATAATATATATTGTAATTTATTTCAATTTACAATAACTCTAGACCAACATTTTAGTCTCCTTGTTGAGGATGGGGAAAGGCTTATTAAGCTTATCTAAGGGTCATTCTTTCTAGAAATGGGACTTGTACTCAGTTTACAGTATATATAATCCTTATATCCGTCATGCTGATGGGTGGAAGAATTTCAGATGGCATTTTGGTGGACCTCTACTGCATTAACTAGGAGGATCATCACTCTATGATCATCCATCATGAAGGAAATTCCCTTTGTCCAACTAGGCTGAAAGATGCAGTTGTAAACAGCTGTGATTTAATTTTGGGGAAAGGCAGTTCTGCTTTAAAGAGTTGTAGACAGGTTTGCACTCTATTTGCACTCTGAAGCAAAGCGCATTTTGGGAAATGAATTCAAAGCACTGTGCAGTTCTGCCTCTGACATATTTTTTGCTTTGGGCAGTACGGAAAGAGTAGCAAACCTGAAGATTGCTAGTCCACTTTTTAAGCACAATACATTAGAATTTTGCAAGGAAAAAAAACTAACAGTAAAGCATAACTAGACTCTAAATGTCTGCTCTGGATAACTATAAGGATGTACAATGTGATTCCCCCCCATAAGTGTTAAGACCTTTATTTTGGACTGTAATGTTTATTGGGCTCGCTTGTATGAGTGGAGACTACAGTGTTAAAAATGCATGAGGTAGTAGACAAATTTCTAACTATATCTTGCATTATAATGCCGTAACATATTTGGATATTGGGCTGATATTTGCAGTGCCTTGAATTCTCACAGAGCAAACCTGAGCACTTATAACTCTATTTTGCAAATAGAATTATTTCAAAGTCTCCAGTATAGTCCATTACACCAAACTCACTTTATTTGCAACCTACAAGCTGAAACCATTTAAAAGCAGGATTCATCAAAAGCGCTTTAATATTTCATACCAACTGGCCGGCTTTAAGCTAGGGTTCAAAGGAGCAGAAGCTATTAAACACAAACATAGGATTGTCTTTGAAAGCAGCCCCCACCCACCCTTCAGTCTTCCAATGAATGCACCCCCCAGCATGATGCTGGGGCAATTATTGGACATAGACCATACTATATAAAGTGCAAAGGCAGGCTTCTCAGAGCCTGAACGGGCAGCTGATTAAAAATTCCTCTTTCCTTTCCCTAAGGTCCGAGGTGTAGATTCATGAGCCAGGATCTCGGCTAGAACAGGTGTCTATTGCTCTGTAAACAGCAATTAGGCCCAAATTTCAGACTTTTTCCCTCCCTTTTTTTTTTTCCAAATCCCTATCTGAGGAAAAGCCCAGGAATAAATAGTTGCTGTAACGGCCAGGGGTATTGTGTAGCATTATAGCCTCCAGCTGGGCTATTACATACTATAGACGGGTGAAGAATACAAGCACCTGACAGATGTGTTCTGTTAGCTTCATTAGGAAAGAAACAAAGAAACTCCTCAATTAATAGCAGTGGAGCCAACCGAGAGGGGGGTGGGAGGAATCATAGCCTGTTATTTAAACAGAGTCAGAGAGCCTTTCACTGGTGGCTTAATATGATTCATTAATAAAAAAAAAAAAAAAACAGCTTTCTGAATGCCCAGTTTAAGTCAAAAGAAATCACTGGCATTTTTTTCCACAAAAAAGGAAGGGCAAAATGACAAGCTACAGTTGTTACATTCATGAAGGGGTTGTGAAGGAGGAAGGGCCCAAGGCTCCCTTAAAACCAGGAGGTTGCTGGTCCCGTTTCCCACATTAAATGCTCTCCCAAAGTCCCATTAAAATGGCTTTAAGCTGAATGCTTTTCCGGGGTTCTATAACCCAGTTGCCAAGGTCTCAAAAAACAATGATTTACAAAGTGCTGTAAATGAACTCTTAAAATAATGGGGGGGGGGGGAATCTGGCCACAAAGCCAAAGCTTTCAGAGCTATGGAATTCTGCTGAAATCATGTTAACTATAATTTGCTGTAGTATTTCTTTAGATAAAATGGGGGCCTCTTGCTTGTTTTGCTCTAAAACAATGCATTATTAAGACACAGGGCAACAGAATGTATTTTTCACTGTGTGTATTGTATATCTCTGCAGAGGGTTCTATAGGCCATTCCTCCTTTTAAGACAAACACAAGACAGAATTGTTGCTTCTCTTCTAAATATGGGAAATGGGAAAAATAATATTTTTTTTATTTTCTTTAACAATAACTATCAGATTGTTATAATTCCAAAACTGCAGAGTGACTGCCATTCGGAAGACAGTAAGGAAGAGATGACTTTGACAGAGATATGGAAGAACTGTTACAGTACCTAAGCCAAAGGAGCTGATGCATTTTTTTTTTAGAACAAAATAAATAACGAAGTGGCTCAGGCTGATATGTCCCTTACAGGTAGTCCTCGACGTACGACCACAACTGAGCCCAAAATTCAACAGTCATATGATTTTTTTTGTGGTCCAGATATCATAGCTTTACTCTAGTTTTCCATATTGTGTATATTTTAACCTGTTAACATTCTATCCCTCCTTTCCATCAAGAGATTTAAATAGAATCTCCCTTCGTTTAATCTCTTTTAACAGCAACTTTGAAAGGGCCAAAGAAAACCACTGGATCAAAGCCCCTGAGTGAGTTTCCATGCTGAATGGATTTTAATCTGGGTCTTGGCAATCCTGTCCTATACCCTTAACCACTACATGATATTGACTCTCACTATCTACAGGGCCCTACTCACTAAAATGAAAATGAAAACAAGGTCCAGGTAATCCCTGGGTTACGAGGTTCCCTTAGCAAACATGTGTAGTTACGCGATAAGCGCCCCCTAGCGTTTATGAATTAGTCCCGAAACTACAAATCTTGCAGCGCCACCGCAGTTGTTTGCCCTTACAAACAACCGCAGAGGCTCTACCATATTCGTCCTGTACCTTGCTGGCCAAAATAGAGCTTCTGAGGGGTGGATCTGCCCCTCAGAAGCTCCACTTCGGATGGCAAAGTGCCGGACGAGGCCTGCAGAGGCCCGAACCAAGCATCGGAGGGGCACACACAGCTGAGAGGCTGGAGAGGAGACTGCTTACTAGAGCTTCACAAGGTTAGTGACCCAGCGTGGCAGGTTGGGTGGAGGAGGGGAAGCAATTGTTGGGAGCATGAAGTAATTCAGTGGGTCTGGGAGGCCTTGGGTGATCTTAGGCAGGTGGCCTGTTCCAACACTAGGCCCCCCAAGGCCTTCCCCATCCTGAAATACCTCATGTGCATTTAACCCGCCTCACATTCAATTAGTGAATGTGTGGGTGAAAGGAGGGAGTGATCCCGTTCAAGGTACAAGATTCTTTCCCATGAATCCTCAAGTTACAAATGGAATGGGCAGGCTCCATTACAATCGTAACTCGAGGACTACCTATATTTTGTTTCAAAAGAATCATGACCGGGAAAACCTTTGTAAGACATAAAAACACTTAATATAACATGCCATATTTTGATCACTTCCTATATTTACAATGCATGTTTGTAGCCTCTACCATGTCTTATTTTTGTTATCCTGTGTCTTTCATCTTTTCATCATCCATACTGCAAATTGTTCTAGCTCTATTTCCTTGGAATATTAGACCAGTATCTTTGCCAAGCCCCAGTTCTCTGTTTAAAGTCCAGCTTCATAGCCTTAGGCCTTTTTTATTTATATGTGTTATCAGAGAATTATATTTATTCTCAAATGGCTCAAATGAATGTAGCATTCAAGTGAAGTGATAGAAGTAGCTGAGAAAATACTTTTAAAAAATTCTCTTGCCCTATGTCCCCTTATTATTCAGTTTTTCTGCTACAAATTGCAAATTGCAAAATGTATATCACTCAGAGTATGGGGTTTTTCTGGTTAAAAGAATTAATATTAGATTGATGCCTAAGCTAAGTATCAGCTACCACATCCAGAAATATGTGCCTACAAATATGGGTAAGGGAACTAGTTCAATTTAGGAGCAGATTTTCAAGCAATAAATGTGTATTAATTTTTTTTAAAATGTAGGAAAATTCATAAGATCTAACCTTATTTTGCATTTATTTTCTGACTTATGAGCAGTTTATCTATTCCACAATCAGCCCCCACCCACATCTTTGATATTATATTTGAGTTCTTCCACCTCTTTGTACTAATAATTTACGTGTGTGAGTGTGTGTTTCATTTACGTGTGCACTGTCTAGTAATGTCCATCAATGCAGGTAGTCCTTACTTAATAACTACAATTGGGACCAGAATCTCAGTCATTGAACGATGTGGTTGTTATGCGAGACACAAAATGTGTCTATGTCAGAGCTGTCAAACTCACGTTGTCATGGCAGTGTCACGTGACGTATCTGGACTTTTTCACCCTTCATTAAACGGCCATTGGCATGGCCAGCACGTGACGTATCTGGCCCGCGGGACAGGAGTTTGACAGCCATGGTCTAGTGATTGTTTCACTCAATGCTTCACAATCCCAGAACTCCCAGTTATGGTAGTTAAGCAGCCATGTGCGTTATTAAGTGGACAGAGGCCCAAGTAAAAAGAGTAGGGGTACCTATGATGTTGATGTGTACTGCAGTTGATGCATTTCATATTTTGATACGTTGAACTTTCCTATGTTCGTGCTTCAATGTTCCTTCTTCCCACTGTAATTCTGTCTTTGTATGTTGGATTTCCTTCCCCTTCATGGTAACATCAGCAACTAGATGTCCCAAATATACAGTACCATAAATGCCATTTTAGTACTACAAAAGATCCCCAGTTCTTTCTCAATAGCATATTGAATGCCATTTAACTCGAGCCGTTCTATCATCAATCATTTTATCCTGCCTATCCAGGTGGTTTTCTTGGTAAAGCACAGAAACGGTTTATCACAATCCTCTCCCATATAGCAAGAAATGACGCTTTTACTGTTGTCCTTAAAGTGACTATCTGTTTCCAACATCATCTTCTGCCTACTGTAGTTGCCAGCTTGTATATTCCTATGCAATGCCAATGCCATGAAACACTGTGATGTTTCATCACTTGTGGCATTGTGGTTTATACAGGATGATGTGTTCCAGTGGTGAAATCCAATTTTTTTTACTTCTGTGGGCGTGGCTTGGTGGGCGTGGCAGGGGAAAGATATTGCAAAATCTCCATTCCCACCCCACTCTGGGGGAAGGATACTGCAAAATCCTCATTCCCTCCCCACTCCTGGGGGAAGGATATTGCAAAATCTCCATTCCCACCGCACTCTGGGGTCAGCCAGAGGTGGCATTTGCCAGTTCTCCAAACTGCTCAAAATTTCCGCTACTGGTTCTCCAGAACCTGTCAGAACCTGCTGGATTTCACCCCAATGGGTTCCAATTCTTCAGCAACACAGAATTTCGTTATCTTTACGAGAGCACTCATTAAAAAGAAATCTAGAAAATGTCATAAGATTAACATTATTCCAATTTAGTCATTTATCTAAGGAGACCTACTGAAATCAGCGAGAAAAGTTAGACATGACTCTAAAATCTGAGACGATCTACACACTTTATGTAACATAAAGGGAAACGAATTCCAGAATGTGAATATTAAAATGGTATGCTAAGAAGATATCATCTTTGAATATGTCATTTAAGCATGCTCTGTTTATTGATCGGAACGTATTTCCTTCAATTATGTCACCAGTTTGCCAGTCGAAGCAAGAGTTCCAAAAGAGACATTGCATTCTTTCTGGTCCATTTGTCATGAACAACAATAGCTTGTGATTCTATGCTAATTAATAATCCCATAAGGGACAGAGCCTACCAAATCCAAGCTGGCCGTGTCTCCAAGGACGTTATTGGTTTTGCAGTGCTTATAGAAATAGAAATCAATCCCATTATTTTTACTCTAAGTACATGCATCTTAACAAGTGAAAAGATTTAGATGAGGCAGAGTTGCCTTTAATTCTGCTTTTTAATTTACAGGAACAGCATAAATTCCTGTAATTTCAATCTTATTTTCTAGGATTGCCTAATATTAATACTGTAAGCAGCATTCCAATAGATACCTTTTCCAAGCGCCAATTAAACTCAGTGGGTCTCCTAAATATTCAGTTTGTTGTAAAATCTTAATCTAATAGATAAAATAAGTAGTACATAGAAATTAATGCTAGTTTCATATGTAAGCGACATATTGCTTCTTCCACTTAGACATTAAAGTTAAAGGCAAAATAAGAAAAAGAGGAACTATTTAGTTAGACAACAGTGCTTTTTAAAAATTTCTTTAAAGGACAAAAAGCAAAACATTCCAAAAAACAAATCTAAATGTTTTAATTTAAACTCCTTATTTGTATAATCATTTATACACACTCACCCAGATACCAACATATGAAGGACCGTCTGTTTTCCAAGCTGCAGAAGAAGAATGCACACACACATATACAAAACACCGTGCCCTGTTTTGGGCCTAGGCGGCCTCCCTGCACTTACCTGGGAGCCACAATGGGGCATATGGAGACTCCTGGAAGGGGAGAGGAGGGGAGGGGCCAGCCAGCAATTTAACTATCAGTTCACCTGAACTGGCCCAAACCGGCTGAATCCCACCACTGGACAGTATGATTCCTCACATGGTACTGCCGTTTTAAGAGTTGCATGAACTTTAATAAGTGAACTTTAATGTGAATTTCTTGTACCAGAACAGCCTCTGTCTCATGCAAGCACTGCAATTACCAGCTACTCATTAAAGGATATAGCAGGGGTGTCAAACTCAAGGCTCGGGGACTAGATCTGGCCCATGGGGTGCTTAGATCTGGCCCGCAGGGCCACCCTGGAAACAGTGCAGGACTGGTCTGCGGTGCCTCTGCCAGCAAAAATGGAGCTTGGGAGGGCTGCATTCAGCCCTTCCAAGCTCCATTTTCACTGGCAGAGTGTTGCAGGAGGCTGTCGCAGCTGAAAACGGAGCTCAGGAGCTCATTTTCTCTGGCAGAGCACTTGGTGCACCACAGACGCCCCTGACATCGAGCTAGCCATACCCACCCTGGCCATGCCCACTCTGCCCCGAGGTCAAGCACTGATGTGGTCCTCAATGAAATCGAGTTTGACACCCCTGTATATATGGTATGATTTCATAAAGGTGAGCCAAATGATCAGGAGAGACAGCTGGCCTATTTGTGCTTTGTGCACAGGACTATTCAATCCTTCAGAAGGTGCTTAATACCCTGCTTTTTTTGCTAATGGAAGAGGGCCTACAGCATGTTCCAAAATTCGCCTTTATCTTTTAGGAACAATCCAAAAGATTCTACACAGAGCCCAAAGTGGAGTCAGGGAGTTATTCCTAAACATTGAGATGGACTCCAGTATAGAAACAATATATTTACTTAATGAAAATTTTAAAAATGACTTGGAGGAAGGAACATTTGTGTAGCTGATCATTAAAAAGAAAAAAAAAAAGAACAAGTTGTTGATAACCAAAAAATCTCTTAGTCCTAGATTAACCAGGAATATCTGATAAAGGATCAGTTTGCTTTCACAATCCATAAACTTCAATTGTCATGCAAAGATTTCAAGTTTATACTAACAGTTCACTGTAGCATGTGTCAGATTATAGGCTAAGAAAGTAAACACTGGCCAGCAAATATTTAAAAAATAATGACAAATGGCCCTTGCAAAAAAGCAATACTGCTACATCCAAAAGAATGATGTTATCCACCAAATTTTCTTATCTTTTCTTCCCATGTTAAACTGTTTCTCCCCACCCACCCCATCTACCTCCTTTTATCTGATTGCCTCAACTTATTTTCCCAGATGTCTTTTCACTAGTTTACCCTAATATGGATTTAGAGGCATGAATGTTGCTTGAGGAACAGAAGAAATTGAAGTCGCCTAGAAAGAATTCAGAAAAGAACAGGAAAAAATAAGACCGCAATTACACAGGTGGAGTTCCTTTAACAAAAATGAAGAAAGCTTTCCTGTTATTTATACAATCATATATAATTCTATTCCAACAGTGAAATGCACTTGCTTTCAAAATGTATTACAGCCTGCAGTACTTTGACGCAAATGAATTAGTTCCAGATTAAATATTTCATAATTTCTCTACAACAATATCAGAGGTTATGATGTAGTTCTAAAATGCAACAAATATCCTGAAATGTTGATCAGCTGATGAATGGATTTGGAGAAGCTATCTCTATAAAATTTGGAATATCCATCACCCACTGGCTGTCTTTGGATTTATTTACTACAGATAGGCAAAATTAAAGATTCTGCCATTCTATATTTCAGTGTAAATATTAAAAATTGTATCCTGTTTAACTTATTTCTACTTAATCTAACTTGAGGTGCTGAAAAATAATGTTTTTATTGTTATTAAAGACATATGAACAAATTGAGATTTCTTTAATGGTTTCATAGCCTGGACTGGAGGCAAGAATAGTCTTCTTGAATGAACTTCAATGAATCTTCTAACACCTTACTTTATTTAACATGCTTACAAATAGCTTCTTCTATGAAGATACAGATTTGCAGGTGAGACAAAGCTGAGAAAAGCAGCTAACGTTCAAGACTCAAAAAAGGAATTTGACACAGTTGATTGTTACCTTGAAAATAAAAAGACAAAATTCAACATGGATGGCTATAAAGACTAGCATTAGATTTTAGAAGCTAATTAAAACTAAGCACAAATAGCATATGAGATCAACATGGCTTAGCAGTAATACAAGTGAAAAGGATTTACACTTTTTAATTTCCCACAAATGAATATAAACTGGCAGACCAAATGAAGCCGAGTTATTCCATTCTTTGTCAGGACCAATGGATGTAAATTATTGTGAAAGTTAAAACAGGAAGAATCTCCCTATCAAAGTAACATAACAATAGAATGAACTACCTTGATAGATGAAGAGTTTTTCTTCATGGAAAATATTTAAGTCCAGACCAGTGATGAAATCCAATTTTTTTTTACTACTGGTTCTGTGGGCGTGGCTTGGTGGGCATGGTGTGGCTTGGTGAGCGTGGCTTGGTGGGCATGGCAGGGGAAGGATACTGCAAAATCCCCATTCCCTCCCCGCTCCTGGGGGAAGGATATTGCAAAATCTCCATTCCCACCCCACTCTGGGGCCAGCCAGAGGTGGTATTTGCTGGTTCTCCAAACTACTCAAAATTTCCGCTACCTGTTCTCTAGAACCTGTCAGAACCTGCTGAATAGCACCCCTGGATTGAGGTATCTTTTACACACTGGTTGTCCAGTTTGCAGCTTTTCCTCCCGTCTCCCAAGGTCATTTGCACATATCATTATAAAAAGTTTGAAAGTCCTTGATAATGATATAGCTCCTAGGTCCCTAGAGGAGAAACCCCTCCCGTCTTTTTTGTGATGCCATTACACTTCTTTAAGCCATGGAACTTGTTAGGATTTTTCTTTTTTTAAAATTCCAGAATTCTTGAGCAAGAGGCAAAGCTGTAGTGGTAGTCTTTCTTAGAACCCATCAAGTTTTTGTAGTTGAAAATCTGTCCTATGTCCCCAGGTTTAGAATGCAAACTAGTCTTACCAAATTGCTCCTCTTTAATAGCCACTATTAAAACTTTACCTATCAAGAAAACCTCTGCTTGGAGACATGGAATTGCTTTTCTAGTCAAGAGACAGTCCTGGGTCAGTAATCACTTTCCTTGAATAAAAATGTCAAACTTTGAAGTCCTCTATATCACTTCTTATAGCAGTGTAAATGGGGCTTTATATCACTAGGAGGAAGAGAAAACAAGTTTGCTAAAGAGACTTGGCACTCATTTCTAGGCCTAAAAATGTCCAAGATGATAGACTAAGGTGGCTCACATTTTATAGCAAGAGGAGACTCTGATTCATTTTTATCTACTGGCCAGTGTCTTAAACAGGGAGCGTGTCTCCCCCAGAGACCATTCTCCTCTTCGCTTGTGCACAATCACCCATTCATTTGCTCATTCTCCTGACTATGTTTCTTCACCTGCCTCAATAAGCTTCCTTACACAATGCCCTCCGACCTTTGAGATCTATTGCAAACAATTTAATGTTTTCTGTATCCATACAAGATGCTACCACTACAGCATTAACCATTTGTACTTTGCCATTGGCAAACATACGCAGAGAACGTGGGATCAATGTTTCTGTACCAAGGATGAAAATGAGGGGGGAAAAAAATCTATAGATATATCCAAATGTTTGAAGACCAGCTCTATTAACCCAAATGAAGGTTTCAAAACCAAGATGCATGTTTTCATGATTTTAGCATGATTTTGATTCAAACTGGGAATCTCAAGTACAGAATACTTTGCCTTCTTCTAAATCTACAATTCAATTCAGAACTCACAGACTCATGGTCAAGTCAACATTCATACATCTACAGCCTTCAAGAGGTATGGAATAATATTGAAATCCAGTGGTGGGTTTCAAAATTTTGTTCTGTGAGTGTGGCTTGGTGGGCGTGGCATGGCTTGGTGGGTGTGGCAGGGGAAGGATACTGTGAAATCTCCATTCCCTCTCCAATCCAGGGAAAGGTTACTGCAAAATCCCCATTTCCTCCTGATCAGCTGGGACTTGGGAGGCAGAGAATAGATGGGGGTGGGGCCAGTCAGAATTTTTACTACCGGTTCTCCGAACTACTCAAAATTTCTGCCACCGGTTCTCCAGAACTGGTCAGAACCTGCTGAAACCCACCTCTGGCACAAACATAGAAGTTTTGAATTTGACTCTTGGTTGTGGTAGCCACAACAGTTTTGTTTTCAGCTGTTCTCAAGCCTCCATGTACAAACCAAATATTTAAGCCCAGCTTTGGGAGGCACTGAGAACGTATCTTACCACCCATACCTGTTTTGATATTTTTCCTTTGCAAACATTTCTTTAACTTTTATTCAGAATACAATGCTCTTTTCTATGGCCATACTCACCTATTATTGGATGCTTTAATTCTTGCGATGTAACTTAGACAGAAGACTATTTCTAAACTAATCAACTTTTGCTTTGATACTTTTTGTTGTGCTAACTATAACAGTAAATACAAGCCACGTTCCCACTTTTCATAGGGAGACCCCACTTTTATCAGAGAACTCTAATAAATTGTTTTTAAATGATCTTCCAACTCCGCTGCTTATTGGAAAAAGTAAGCCGAGGCAGAACCTAGAGCCAGATTTGGCCATCATATTACTGTTCATCGTGAAACCCATCACTGAATAATCTTTCCAAACCTGTTCTTTCAGCTGCAAAAAACAACCCCATTTAAACGTGCGGAGATATGATTACAATCGCTACATAATATAAAATCAAGTGAAGTGCAAATATTTTCTTGATCAGTTGGTTTAGACTGCAGTCCTTTGTGCAATTATCCCTTACACATTTAGAGTAATTGGCTTTGTTCTCTTTGGGGCTAATGGAATTGGTGTCAACTAGACTTACATCTGAATAAGCATGCAGAGGCCAGGCTGCATAAATCACAGCGCTTTTGCTGTGTACCTTGGCAAAAGGAAAATGGAAAAAGAAAAGAAAGGAAAAGTATGTAAGAAAACATTACTCACAACGCAACCCTCTTTAATGGCAGATTAAGCCATTTTCTTTCTTGCAGGTGTGATTTTCACATACATTTTGCCCCTGAAGCTATCAACAGGGGGTTTTTTGGGCAGGGGCTTTACAGGAAAGTCCGTAAAACAACCCCCCCCCAAGAAGCAAGTGAAAATATAGCTGCTTTGACAACTGACGAGGTCATTGTCTCGAGGGTGATCTGTGCCCATCAGAGTGTTGCTGGTTTTGTGTGGGGTGTGTTGCACGTCTTCGTTTTAACAGAGTAGCCTGTCAGTGTCCCATTTTTCAATGATGCAAGTCTCTCCCCCACCCCCTCCCCCAAAAAAACCCCTGATAACGCTCTAAATAACAGGTGAGTGACTCCTGGTAAGAAGGAGATTGTCTGACCTCATTGTTTGCCTTTTCTCTCTGCCTCTTTGTTCTTCACAAATAAAGGTTTTTTAATAAACTGAAAGGTCCTTCGCTCCTGCCTGATGATAAAATGAAAGGAACCAGTGAGGTATGGTACAACGAGGCAGCGAAAAAAGAGAAGCTCATCAGAAAATAACAAAGGTGCAAGTTAAAGATAAGGCAGCTGTCAGAGATTAATCCTGCTTCCCTGATTGTTTTCTTTAATACCAAGGCCTGCAATAGCAAGCGATAAGTTTGCTGAGTAATTTGGTTTTGGGTGAGGAAATAAAATTCAGGTAAGAGTCATAATTGATTTCCCTTTTCTTTAGTTTTATACACATTAAACAAGCAGACAGAAAACATCCTGTTTTGACTATAGGTCTTCTTTTCTCTCCTGTTCCTTTCTCCTAGACAAGTTCTCACACTTCTTCTCAAGGCCTTGCTGAAGGTGAGAGACTTTGTGCCCCTCGCACAGCCTAGGCCAGCTGTGGAATTAAACTTCAGGAAAATATCATCCGGCTTTTCCTTTGTGGGTTTGGAACAACGCTATCGCAGGGCCACAGAAAAAAGGAAGGAACAGAAAGGAATACAAATCCCATTTGCAGGCAAGCTTTTAGGTGGCCTGGAAGTGTCCAACCTTTTTAGAGACAGACAAGGACTGGATATAATGGAGCTACTTCTTACCAATCTAATGTCTGCCCCATAGTGTCCGGCAAACAATAGCACACAGTTGTGCCATTGTCCTCAAAGTGCCATGTCTGCTTACATCTGGCTTGGTTCTTAAAAGTTTTATCCAGTAGAAACCAACATTGTCTCTCTCACTGATATGCACACACAGAGTCTCGTTGAATGAATGGGTCAGTCTGTAAAGTTCCAAGTGGTCACTGCTACTCAAATTAACTCTTCACCTGGACCTACTCCTCCAAATTTCAGGTCTACTTGAAGAGAGGCAACAGTGCCTTATGGACTCTTTCCTTTGATTGAGACAGTGACAGATATCCAAATGTCTTCCAAGGAGGACAGAAGTTGATTTGTGCCTCTTTTTTTTTGACTCCCAGTGAAGCTCCCAGGGTTACAGAAGCAAAAGCAACAAGGGACCCATACCAAAGCTAGCATGAGAGTCACAAAGGCTCTAGGTGTCAGAAGTGCCATTTCATGCCTGTGCTTGCTATCACTTGATGCCAGTCTGCCCTGAACTCTGGGACGAGGGAGCTAGATGAGAGGAGGGACAGTTCAGAATTCACCTTACCTTCTGGAGACACAACTTCAAGGTCAGATGGCTAGGAATGACATGGAGCAGCATACTGGCCAGCCCAAAGTTGAGACCATTCCCAAAACACCATATTCAAATACAATTGGACAATGAGAGACCAGCAGAGAGAAGTACCTTGGGGGGTGGAGGAAGTTATACTTGGACATTTTGGATCGTGGATTTCAGTTCTGGCTTTGCTTTATTGTATTTCACTTGACCTTTAGTAAAGTATACCTTTCTCAACAAATGAAGTCAAGGATCGTTCTTGCTTAAAGGTACAAGTTGAGGCAGGATTCACACTGGGTCATTCTGAGCCTTCCCCTCAGGGTGAAATGGCAAATGCTAGCATGCTGCTTGATTCATGGCTTTCTAAGCTCCAGAAAGCTTGCCTATCCAGATTGACCAGGGCAACTAATCATCCCATTGTGTTTCCAATGGTGGGGGTGAGCTTTGGGCATATGTGCTTCCCATAGTCACTCACATCACACTATTTTCAGGGATAGAGTGAATGGTAATATAAGCAGATGGCTTTGATAACAAAACCATTGAGAAGCCATAAGTGCTACATCCTTTTTTATCCAAAACAGTATTGGATTTTCAAACCTTTTTGTTTTGTTATGCCCAAAGACCTCATGCAACAGTGTTCAGTTTGTCCTATTCTGCAGAGAGCAGGGATTTCTAAACCTATCCACAATAGGTATTCAATCCCTATATGATGCCTGTTACTGTACTTTTAAGGAATAGTTTGCAGTCACTATCTGCATTTAAGATTCCTGGACTGTGAGGACATGGAGTTATGCAGCCAGGCTACAGTTGATGGGTTTGCTGTGGTGCTAATGGAGTCCTTGGTAATTTGCCTTCCTTCAGTTTGGAGTGGTTCCCACATTAAAGGTAGATAGGGCAACACAAGATCAAAATAGGCTGTTTCTGATAAAATGTGACAGGGTGTCAAAAGTGGAGACTTCTAGCAGTGTCAGCCCCCAGTGAGTCAAGAGAGGAAACCTAGCCAATTTGAGCACATTTTGGGAACAGGTCATGAGGAGGGCTGCATCCTACCCAGTTAGCTTCTCCAGTGAGGAGGTTTTGGAGAAAAGGAAGCTTTTAAATCTCCTTTAGAACTCAGACTAGGGAAAATGGTACCAGTGGGAACAGAAATTACAGCTCTACCTGTGACAAGGAATATGAGGTGCCTGAAGATACAAGGATTGGGATTGGGGTTAGGTGAGAGAGCTGAAGAAGTTTATTGGATGAGAAGCGAAATGTCTTCAAAGAAAAACAAAGAAGTCCAGTTACCTCTTAAAAAAGCACCTTTGGGTTAGGGCGAGAGGTTTAAGAAATCTACAACAGTATGAGAAATACCTAACCAGATATACTCTGACAAAGTTTCTGCTGACATTCAGAAACTACTCTGAACCAAAGACAAAGCCAATCCTTAGAAGGCATTCATTCTGGTTCTGAGAGGATGGGTCGAGATAAGTTTCTAACAGAAATAAGAGATAAAGCCAGAGATGCTGAACTAAGGGCAGAGAAGACTTGATGCTATATGGTAAAATTGTGTTCCACATCAAATTCAGGAGACTGAAGGAAAACTGGAATATCCCAAGCTTATTGCCAGCCAGGCTGTGAATATCTGTAGAGCCAAAGCCACAACACAAGCTCAGCTACAAGCCACATCAGAAGATTTGTTTGTTCCTCCTGTACACACTGTGGGAAAACAGAAACCTCCTTATTGGTGGGGTTGTTAGTAACCACAAAACTCAAGATAGACATGCACAAAATAAAAAACATATCTATGCAATGTGAGCAAGTATGCTGGGTGTTCACTTCCACAAAGACAAAATATAGTTTATATCAACGAGGTCAACTACGTGGGACATGTCGTCATTACCGATGGTGTGAAACCAGATAAGCTGAAGTTAAAGATACAGCCAAAATACCTGTACTTGGAAACAAAAGGAGATACAACCTCTACTTAGAATGATCCTGCATTCTGTACAAGGTTTCCTTAATGAGTCTTCCATAATGGCACTCCTGAGACAGAATGAGAGTGGGCTCAGAGCACCTGAAAGTATTGAAGATATTAAAAGCAGCTCACTACTGCTCCAGTACTGTGGCTCTTTAACCTCAAAGAACAGTTTGAAGTGCAAGTAGATCAGTAGTGGGATTCAAATCCTGTTGCTACCGGTTCATTCATGGACACGTGCATGCTCGCATGCATGCGTGCAACACTTCTGCGCATGAACAGAGATGTCCGGGCGGGTGGGTGACATATTGTTTCAGGGGTGGGTGGGAAAGTGACAATATAAAAGAATATATAGATACTATCAAGTACAGGGCAAATATGGAAAGTCAGAAGATCTTTTTAAGTGCTGATGAGTTTTTGATCCAATCTACTGACAAACAATGAATGCGATACTTTTTTTTTTCAAGGTTGTTTACAGCACAACAGTTTGTCATTTGCTTTCAATGACAGTTTCAATAAACTGGGAGATTCATTGTTTCCAGGCAGAGAAATAGCTAGGAAATAGACACATAAAGCCAGTCACTTTACTCTGTGTGTTGATAAGGACTAAGCAAGGAAGTGTTCCTAGAGTACCAAATACTGCTTACTATGACTTGTTTTGTTGGACATGCCCATGAAGGCTGGACGAAGCTCCTGAACAAAAGGTGGTATATAAATTTAACAAATAATAAAAGTAAAATATGAGCTGGGGAATAAAAGGAGTAAAAAAAATTCTATTTCTGATCCTGATGTATTAGCAGGTATGCAGGATAGCGAAACTGTCATAAACATCTGAAATTGTGTGATGGTTGTTAAAAAAAATAATTCTCCAAGGAGATTCCTTTTCTGGCTCTAGCTTCTACAAAACAGACCCTAGGTTGGTTTGGACCAGAGGTGGGTTTCAGCAGGTTCTGAACAGTTCTGGAGAACCGGTAGCAGAAATTTTGAGTAGTTCAGAGAACCAGTAATAGTAAAAATTTTGACTGGCCCCACCACCATTTATTCTTTGCCTCTCAAGTCCCAGTTGATTGGGAGGGAATGGGGATTTTGCAGTAACCTGCCCCTGGAGTGGGATGGAATGGAAATTTTACAGTATCCTTCCCCTGCCACGCCCACCAAGCCATGCCCACCAAGCCATGCCACACCCACAAAGCCACACCCACAGAACTGGTAGTAAAAAAAATTTGAAACCCACCACTGGTTTGGACCAGGGGTGAAATGCTCCCGGTTCGGACCGGATCACCCAATCTGGTAGCGATGGAGGCGGGTGGTTCGGAGAACTGGTAGCAAAAATCCCTGCCCCCCCCCATGCCCAGCTGAGCTGCACAATCATCAGAGGCTTTTTCTTTTAATTTTAAAAAACATTTTTTCTACAACCTCTTCGGCTGAAAAAATGCTTTTAAAAGTAAAAAAAAAGCCTCTGATGATCGCACGGCTCAGCTGGGATTGTCAAAGGGTTTGTCAGCTGATGATCCCAGCTGAGTTGCCTGATCGGCAGAGGCTTTTTTTCTTTTAAAAACCTCTGACGATCCAAGCTGAGTTGCCTGATCGGCAGAGGCTTTTAAAAGAAAAAAAGCCTCTGCCGATCAGGCAACTCAGCTGGGATCGTCAGAGCCTTTTGAAAGCATTTTTTTTACAACCTCTTTGCTGAAGAGGTTGTAGAAAAAATGGTTTTAAAAGAAAAAAAAATTGGCCATGCTCACCCAGTCACATTACCCACCACCACCACCAAGCCACACCCACAGAAGCGGTAATAACAAATTTTAGATTTCACCACTGGTTTGGAGCTCCATTTGTGATAATTATCTTACATAGATTGTCGCCAATATAATTAGGGGAAAATCTACTAGCTCAGTTGACTTTACAGTTCTTTTTGATTCTTGGAGAACAAGTCTATGAAAGGTCTTAAAGGAAAAAAGTCAGGATATATTTGAAGAGTCTAGAAAGTCCTCAAATTACAACTATAACTGAGACAAAACTAAAGCAGAATATTTGTAGCTCAGGGTTGATATGAAGGGTCCTCAGTGCTCTCTGAACTTGCTTGTTTTCTTGCAGAAATTTCATTGCCCAAACGAGGTAAGTCAGAAGATTGCAAAAGGTGATCACATGACCCTGGGACACTGCAACTGACATAAATACATGCTAGGTGCCAAGCATCCAAATTTTGATCACGTGACCATGCAGATGCTGCTAAGATTGTAAGTATAAATAAAGGTCATAAGTTATTTTTTCAGTGCCATTGTAACTTTGAACAATCATGAAATGAATGGTTGTAGGACTTCCTGTACTGTGGTAGCTGAGAGGTGATAAAGAACAATGCCTTTGGATATCATGAGAAAAAAGATGCTCAGCTAAGTAGATCTTTAGATCCAGTTGGGTTTTTATGTTCTGCTATTGTCTTTCATTCACCACTTTTTTCTGATCTCAAAGAAGGTGGAACATATATGCAGCCTCTCATGATGTCAGAATCCAAATCCCATCAGCTTCAGCACACATGGCCATGAGGATGGTAACAGCGCATTTGGAGAACTTCACGAATAATGCATTAAAAAAAAGAAAGAAACAGAAAATGAGAATGAAGTTTAAAGAAACGTGTGGCGCTGGAAGAAAGGAAGTAGTCCGTGTGTGCTTGAGATCATCCTGATGGACGTAGGTGGCATCTTTCTTATTTCCAATTGACATCTAATAATTTTGTTTTATGACCTGAGTGTCTTCATTCATTGGAACCGGCTAAAATAGTTTCACGATCCTCTAGGAATTTTAATGGCTACATTTAGCAAATATGTCCCTTTATATGCATGTACCCAGCAACCCCTACTCACAGAGAGAGTTTGACTTGGCAGTGAGAAAAATGAGCCGCTTTCATGGCAAATCTAGCTGGGTGGGCTTGTGCACATGAACATGTGTGGCATGTGAGTGCGCGTATACACACACACACACACACACACAGCTTTAGCCTCAGCCAAACCTTATTTATTGTGACAAAATAAACAGCCCCCAGGATGCTCATCCAGCAGCTAATTTCTCATCTTATCTATTATGTGAATGAGATAGGAAAACAGTTTCCTGTTTTTCTCAGATATCGCTAACATGAAAGATACAGAATGAATTCCCTAGAAAGCCATGCAGCCAGATCCGTCCACAGACTCATTTGTTTCAATGGGACGAATTAATGCCATCAGGGCTGTTCGTTGATGGGAAATAAGTCTATAAACCCTGCCATCGAAGCAACCTCTCAA